GCCCGACCCCAAGCTGCCTGCTCGCAGGTGCTCCTGCGAGTCACCTCCCTGGTGAGGAGAGTCAGAGGGGCTGCAGGTGGCTCATCCGAGTGGCTGAGCCCGACAGCTGAGCATTCTAGTTCAGTGGTAATTTCCACAAAACACATTTCTTTGTTCAGTTTTCCAATCTGACTTAGGATGCCCCCTATTCTCTGAAATGTGAGCACTTCGGAGGAAAGAGCTTTAAAAGTCGGGGAGAAAAATGCTAAAAGCTTTTTGAGAATTCTAATTGCAGATAATGAATGCAAGTACAAACTGCATTATTTAAAATGTAAGCTGTTGACAGAAGTCAAATGTGTTTTGTATTTAAAATAACAGTTCTCTTTTCTCAGAGAAGTAAAAGAAAGGCTTTATTTTTTTAAAGGTGCATTCTGAGTACACGCTGCAAAGATAATAACAGCCCGTCCATCTGCTGGGCGCCAACACAGCCCTTGCATGCCAAACGAGGTTACAGCTGTATCTCCGTCTAAATGTACCCCCGTGGGGTCTTCCTACCTGAACTCTAAAAGTCCACACCTAATTCTCCATCCAACACACTCAATTTACCTTTCTTGCTCCATCCTTCCTCAGTTGCAGGAAACACCACATCATGGATTTCTCTCTGAGATCGGGATTGCCTATGTAGTAACTTTTTCACAGCTGTTAATAAGTCTTTTCCTTCCTGCCAGGTGTGTATCGTTCATCTGACACTACTCTTGTACTTTAAGTCAAAATAATTTGCCAGGCGTAGTGGCTCACGCCTGTCATCACAGCACTTTGGGAGGCTGAGGCCAGAGGAGCACATGAGCCCAGGAGTTGGAAGTTATATTCGGCTGTGATTGTGCCACTATGCTCTGGCCTGGGTGACAGAGCAAGACCCTATCCCTAAAAACAAACAAAAAACTCCAAACAATTAAAATACCTGTGGTAAGTTTCAATACCTAATGTGAAGAAATCATTATGCATCTGAAGATGATATATGTGTTGGAAACCAGTGGCTGAAGGTGATCATTGTTTCTGCTTAACCTCTGGCTCAGAAGTTAGAAGATCCCAGGACAGGTCCATCAGTCGCTCGATGTGGGGAAGTCACTGACCGTCGCTGCTCACCTGGCAGGTGTCCTGGACACCAGACTATGTGTCCCTGTGTGTGTGTTTAACTCAAACTGCACCGGGCACTGACTATGTACTTGTATATCTATGTATACAACACAGACAGCACTACCAATACAGATACGCCCATACATATGTATAATAAATACATAAATGCCTATGAGGCCTGACAATTAAGTTTGTGAACTCATCCTAGGAAAAGTGCTGTGTACCTCATTGCTGAATATTGGTCACTTTCAAAGTACTCCCCTTGGGAAGCTGTGACCTGACACCAGCTCCTCATCCACCACTCAAAGCAATTTTAGAACTCTTTTTCTGGAACAGCCATCAGAACTAATGTAGTATTATCCCAGATATCTTGAATGTCATCAAAATGTCTTCCTTTCAATATTTCTTTTACCTTCAGGTAAAGAAAAAAGTCATTGGGGTCAGATCAGGTGAGTAGAGAGGGCGTCCCAAGACAGTTATTCGTTTACTGGCTACAAACTCCCTCACAGACAGTGCTGTGTGAGCTGGTGCATTGTCGTGATGCAAGAGCCATGAGTTGCTACGGAAAATTTAGGTCATTTTTGTCTAACTTTCTCACGCAGGCCTTTTAGCACTTCTAGATAGTAAACTTGAGCCACTGTTTGTCCAGTTGGTATAAACGCATAATGAACAATCCCTCTGACATCATAAAGGGTCGGCGACATCAAGTTGCCCCTTGGTTGGGACTGACGGAACTTTTTTGGAACTTTTTTGGTTGTGGAGAACTGGCTGATTCCACTGTATGCTTTGACATCTTGTTTCAGGGTCACACTGGTAACCCGTGTTTCTTTGTCAGTGATAACAGGGCCCTGCGTATGGCCTTGTCTCACCAAGAGGTCTTGGCAAACTT